CCCCGGCCCAGGATGTCCCGCAGCGCCCCGGGAAGGCCGGCGGAGGTGGGTCCGGGTCGGGGCTCTCGCTCAGGCGGTTCCTGCCCGGGCTCGGCGTTGGCGGTTCTCCTTTGCCACGGGGTTATTTTGTGCCGAGAGTAACGTTCGGTGTCTGTGTGTGTGGAAGGGACCCCCGCTCTCACGGGGCGTCGCGGGTAAATATGCAAATTCCACCAAAAACGGCTTTTGTGCGAATAACGGCCTCTTGCAGCCCCAGCAGACGCTATTTCCCGGGTGCTGAGGGTCACGGGCACGGCGGGAGTTTCAGACAGAGTTCACCAGAGAAGCTCCGTGGAGTCGCGAGGTGCAGAAAGGACCCTCAACACCCCCAAGGGGCCCCCAAACCGCCTCAAGACCCCCTGGCTTCCCAAGCCCCTTCTCCCAGGGCAGCCTGGGGGCGGCTGGATCCAGTTCCAGCCTCAGATCCGGTCAGTGGTTCAAGTTTAAAGTGTTGTACAAGTGTCACTGTACAACTCTGTCCCGCGGGATTGAGGGCAGCAAACCATTATCAAATATATTTGTATAAGTATGATTGGACAAAGAGATTTTGGTCACAATTATTCACTACACAGTATAGGAGCTGTAATAACTGTGCACTTGGAAGCAATAGTTGGAATATGAATGTATAAAGAGTTGAAATGTGAGCATGAAGCTAAGGGTGGACTCGATGATCTCAGAGGTCTTTTCCAACCTTAATGATTCTGTGATTCTGAATATTTAAGCAATTGTATTAATGCAAAACCAATTATTAATTAGAGATGATGTCACTCACCAAGACCAATGACCAAATCTCTTTGGCTCAGCCTGGAGGAGTGACCTTGAAGTGTGTCCCCACTCTGGGGAGGAATCTACATACCCACAAGAAGGGATATGTCACAAGATCCCACCCTTAAAATTTGGGCCTGGGCTTTTCTAGTATGCAGTGCTGGACTGTCAGTCAGGTGTGTCCAGGCTGTGCAGCTCAGCAGCTTTGGAGCAGTTCTCAGTGGCGTCACTTGTTTGTTGCTTTCTCTGGGGATTTTCCCAACTCTGCCACATCTTCCCCTCCCTCTCAGGATGTTTCCCTTTAGGATTGATGAGTCAGGCTGGTTTCAGCTTTGTTCAACCCAAAAGCAGTGTG